CCTTTTCATTTGGGTTTTTGAGAAAGCCAGTTATGTCCCATTAATTCAAAGAAGCCAGTTTTGAGAAAAACTGTCCTCTTAAAAGAAGCCCATTTAATATGTGTGATCCTTCAGTGTTAGGTTTAGGGTTACCTAAGCAGCATTTTAATAAGGAGCTCTGGTGGCATAGTGCCTAAGGCATTTGACTAATAACCAGAAGGCTGGTAGTTCAAACCTACCAGCCACTCCGCAAAAGGAAGACCAGGCAATATACTTCTGTAAAGATGTACCACCTGGGAAACCCAAAGTGGGTTGCTGTGAGTCGGAATCAACTTGATGGCAGTGAGTTTGGTTTGGGTTTTGGAAGCATTTTAATAGGAGCTCTGGTGGCACTGTAGTTAACATATTCAGCTGCTAACCAAAAGATCAAGGAGCTCTGGTAGCATAGTGGCTAAAGCACTTGACTGTTAACCAGAAGGCTAGCGGTTCAAACCCACCAGCCATTCCTCGGAAGGAAGGTTGGGCAATCCTACTTCCGTAGTGATACTGCCTCAGAAACCCAAGGAGGGGTCGCTATGAGTCGGGGCGACTCCACGGCACACAACAACAAGAACAACCAAAAGATCAGCAGCTCAAAACCCCCAGCCATACTGAGGAATTAAAATGAGGAAATCTGCTTCCATAAAGATTTACAGCATTGGAAACCCCGTAGGGCAGTTCTGCTCTGTCCTGTAGGGTCCCTGTGAGTTGGAATCAATGGCAGTGGGTTTGGTTTTTCAGCTTAAGCGTTTTAATAAGGGGGCAGTGGTGGTTCAGTCGTAGAATTCTTCCCTTCCATGGAGGAGACCCAGGTTTGATCCTCAGCTATTACACCTCATGCGCAGCCACCACCCATCTGTCTTTGGAGTCCTGTGTATGAATATGATGCCAAACAGGTTTCAGAAGAACTTCTAGACTAAGACAAGGAAGAAAGGCTTGATGATCAACTTCTGAAAATCAGCCAGTGAAAACATAATGGATCACAGTGGTTTGATCCACAGCCCATCACGGGATGAGTCAGGGCCAGCTCCACAGCAGCTAACAACAACAACAAAGCATTTTAATAATTTAAAATAGATTGTAAAGGAATACAAAAGAACATTGTTTGAAAGCTCTTAAAAATACGCAAATCTGTCTAGTTGCCTGCTAATTAAAGTACACATCAGTTTCTGCATCGAAACTCCCCTCTAGTTCTAAAATTGTTATTTAATGATAAAACTAATTTTTCCTGTTATTAAAGTAATGCTAGGACACCACATTTCACCTTTGAGGTAGTCCACCTCCATGTGTGGATGGGGTAGGTACTTAGATGTTCTCTTTTACAAAGCTGAAATGTATTTATGTGTGTAGACAATATGGCATGGGAGTTAGTGTGAATTCTAGAGACCAGACTTTGAATCTCAGATCCACCATTTACTAACTTTGTGACAGTGGGCAATTTATTTAACCTCTCTGTGCCTTGGTGTCATCATTTGTAAAACAGGAAGTTGAGGAAAACAATAGGCTATAAAGCAGATTACGTGTTTCCTGAGAATCATGCTCACCTTTTATTCCTAAGACATGTAAGTAATAACAGTATTATTAAAGCAAATGTATTTCTGCTTTAAAACTCCTGTGATTGTTTAAATTAGTAAAATTATGTTCTAAGTCTGAAAAATTTATCTAGTTATTATTACCTATTAATTACTCAAGGGTTCCAGTATGCTAAAAAGTCCATGTAACATTATTATTCTACTTGACCTTATATTTAACATAAACTCTACGTTAGCCATAATAAAAATGAATTATAAACAAGAAGTGGTAACTTTTGTAACACTCTGAAAATTTAAGATTTTTTTTTAAATCCTATGTGGCCCCAGAACCCAAACTCATTGACTTCAAGTCGATTTCAATTTACAGCAATCCTTTAGAACACAGTAGAACTGCCTCACAGAATTTCTAAGGCTATAAATCTTTATGGAAACAGATTGCCACATCCCACATCTTTCTTCCAAGGAGCGGCTGGTGGATTTGAACTACTGATCTCTCAGTTAGCAGTCGGGTGCTTAACCAGTGCACCACCAGGTCTCCTCTTTTGCAACCCAGATCTCCCCGCCACCCCCTTAAAAAAAAACTCTGAGTTTCAGTTGTTCCTCCAGAAGTAAGGGATTAAAGTAGATAATTTACAGGGTTTCTTTTAGCTTCAGCCATCTATGGTTTTGTGTACCTGTTCAATAAGTCAAATATTTGAGTGCCTGTTTTGTGCATACTATCCTGATGTGCTTTGTGGGAAGGGACAAAAAAATGTAAGCTGTGGACTCTGCCTCTAAGGACTGCCCAGTGTGATAAATCCTACACTGACAGACTTTTCTCTGAACTCAGTAAGCACAAATCCTAGTGATATGTTCCACTATTTATATATGTTTACATATACCTGTGTGGGCATTGGCTCCATAAGAGTGAGACCCCAACCGAGGGCACTAGAGGGTCGCAGACCCAAGTGACAAGAACTGGGGATCATGCATTACAGCCTTATAGTGGGTTCACTCCAACAGCTGTTTATTAATTTTTCAACACTGTAGCTACTTGGTAAAAAGATTTTTAAAATATTTTTCTTTCATTTTTAAGGTATTTGAATTTTAAGATTAATTGAAGACTCAATTGAGATTTAAGATTGAGTTAGGGTTTTATGATTCAGAATTCTTATGTTTGGGAAAAAGTTACAGCTTCATCTTTTTTTCTTTAAGTTGATGGGGAGCAGAAAAAAAAAACCTCACTACTGTCAATTCCGACTCATAGCGACCTCTCCATGGGTTTCTGAGGTATCTCTATAGAAGTTGATTGCCTAGTGTTCTTTCTGAGGAGTGGCTGATAGGTTTGAACCACCAGCCTTTTGGTCAGCAGTCTAATCATCTAGGAATGAGCACAGTTTCCCACCCCCCACCAGTGATCTCTTTTTACTTTAAAAAAAAAAAATGATGCAGAAATCTGATATTTTAACAAAAGAAAAATGTTATATTTTACATTCAAATTTAATAAAATTTAAATAGAAATAAGCCTTAGAAATTTTACTGCCATTTGTCTCAATTTCCAATTTATGTTAAAATTTCAGTTTGTATGAATTATTTCACTTTTTTTCAAGTTACCTATGACCAACCTCTCATAGGAGGTCATTGTAGTAATATATAATTTTTTTTTCTGTTAATTTCAATTTCTAAGTTAGTTCTTTCAAAATTGATAAACCTTTTTGAATTTCCGTTTTCAATCTCTCAGCTCTTGCTGCTTCCAACAACTAGTTATACAATTTTAGCCTCCACAGACATTGAGCAATTTTGCTCTTTTGACTTACCCTTCTAAAACTAAGATGTCAGCCATTAAATGTTTAGAAACATTGGTGCCTTGAAATTTAACGTAGTGCATATAGTCATTAGCTTTTTGTCTGTGCGTATTCCGATGTGCTACTATAAATGATGATTCTACAGCATGTGTCTTTTTTTTTACAGGCAGCAATGTGTTATGTCCATGTAACAGCACTGGTGGCAGAATATCTCACACGGAAAGGTAAGAAAGCTTTCCTGTGTTTTGTGAAATGATATAAAACTGTACAAAGCAGCAAAGGCAAGGCAGAGTGATCCTTGGTGAGAGCCATTCAGGAAGATTTGGAGGTGAGGGATTATAAGTGTATGTGAGAGAACTATGTTCATTGTTTTATTCTCTGACATAATATTGCTTGATATGGTAGGCACAGCAGAAAAGCCAGTATTAGAAAAGTAGGTGACATGTTGTCATGTGACATCTTACTGATGGTTACATTCTACAGAAACTAGTTAATGAGCTTTGCATCTGGGTGTCCCTAACAGGCCAATCTAGAGCTGAAAAGACCTGATTTTTACTCAAGAATTTTCCCCTGGAGCTATTGATCAGTCAGATGACAGCTGTAATGGGAGATTACCAGTCAGCCTTTCTGGAAAGTAGCACAGTTGCCATTGTTGTGTGAGAAGGCAGGGGAAGGGAGGCAGGTATGAATGCTGCTCGTTTGTACATATTTGTTCCCAGATGAGCAGACCATGAATTCTTTAACAGGCGCCTTTTGATTAAACATCAGTTGCTCATTTCCATTTTAAAATCATCCTAGCCTCTGACTATAACAAAGCTAGTAGTCTGAGCATGTATCCTGGAGAATAGCAGCATCGGATCTGGGCTAATGAGTACATTTAAAAAGTGAGAAATGCTATCAAATAACCAAAGCCAAGACCAAGAAATGTGTATTTCTGCTACTGCTGGCTATTGGGAGTAGAATTTTAAGGGTGTCCAGGTTTCCTGTATCAGAGCCCAAAAAGGAAAGACATGAAAGGAGGGCTCTATATGCAGTTAATACCAGTACTATTTCCTGTTGAGACCACTCGTCAGGTAATACATTTCCTCATGTTTAGAAGCAGACATAGCACTCCGCCGGGAGCCACCCCACTTTCCCTACAGCCTCAGCACCTGCCAGAGGAGGAGCCGGGGAGGTGAGCCTAAGGGTCGATCCAATCCCCAGCGGCCACACTGCTCTCTTCACATGCAACTTAGTGGTGCGGGGATTTTCTGTTTCAACTTTGCATGATGGCCTTCACTTTTCTGCCCTGCCTGCTTCTCATAGGCTCTCCAATTCATTGACAGTCTATTCATGTGGGCAATGAGAGGAAGGTGCTTTGGGTACCACAGGAGCTGAGTTCTATATTTAAATGTACTTTGGTAGTCTAAAGCCTGGGTGGTTTGCTTGTACCATTTTATGTTTTGTAAGTGAGTATATCCTCAAGCTCCTAGATTAATATTTTTCATTGGGAAATTTTCTGTTTTCATATAGCAAAATAAAAGCAGAACTCACTTAAGCAAGGCTTCAAACTGGTTCAAACCAATTCAGTCATGGCCAATGCAGCAAAACCAGAACAGACTCCATTTTTAAAATAATTTCACAATGGGAGACTGAGAAGAAGCATAGAGAGCACTTTCAGGAGCCTGATATGTGACACTGGATTATTGCTGGGACTGTGGAGAACAACACACACTCATTGTGATACAGTCGGCTGCCATCTTTGAGCTGGGCACCAGTGTTTCTACTCAGCTGGTCAAGACATTTGGTTGCTATGCAACATGCATGCTGCCCTTGTTTTATAAGAGGGAGATTATGTTTCTAGCAGAGCTTCAGCCCATAATTTTTCGTGTTCTGGTTAGCGTTCCAGTTCAGCCACATTTTAAAAATTTGTATCTGTTCCAGTGTCACTTCATCAGCCATAATTGAACCAGGCTGAACTACTTCAAAGCCCTGCACCTGGGACAGTAGCAGAGGTGTTAGATCATCTGTGAATGGCTTGATCACCCTTGAGTTATACAGAAGAACAATCTCTGACTTAAACATCTACTTTTTCAAAGCTTGATTTCAAAATACTCTGTGTTCCTCTTTTTTCCTCTAAATATGCAGGGTGTCAGTTCAAGTTTTTACTTGTTTTATTATAAGCAGCCATCTCAAAACAGAGTAGCAAGACACTTCTAGTCCTCCTTCCCTTGATAATTTATGCACAGCTGACATTGTTCAACTGGCTTTTAAATAGTGACTGCAAAATGAGTAAATGCCCCAAATGGGCCATTATTGTTTGAGGAGTTTGGCCCCAAACATTTATACTAGCTCCAGCCTTGCACCATCCCCCCTCCCTTATCCTTTTTCCTTGGAGAAACTCCTTAGGAAATCCAGGTGCCAAGGCCAATGAGTTCATGGCCATGTCTCTTGAACTCCATCTTTGTTTTATATATGGCCTCATAAAGGAGGAGGGAAATGTTCTAATCTGAGTCATGGGGTTATGACTCCCAGCTCTCAGAGTGGGTGAGATGAGCTTGAAGGAAACTGTTATTTTTGACTTATATACTTCTCTTTGGTTGGCTTTGGTGTCTTTATTTTATTTTATTTTATTAATATCTCAGCACGGATCATCTCACCAAATCAAATTAGAGTTTATCGTTTCATCATTAATTTCATGTCCTACTTATTTCTCAGGTTATTAAAAGGTGAAGTTTTAATAAAGATGGGTTAAAAAGGAAAAAAAAAACAAAACTGAGGGATAGGAAGGTTAAATATAGGTGGGCAGGGATGAAGAAAAGCACACAGTGGTCCCGGCCACCCTGTGTGAATGTTGAGCTGAGACATACAGACTTCAAAATTGGTTTTTTCATTCAACACAAAAGTATACAGGACTGGGGGAACCCTTGAGGTAATGCTGACCTGCTTCTGCTTTCTTAATTTTTAGGCATGTTTAGACAAGGATGTATCGCCTTCAGGGTAATTACCCCAAACATAGATGAGGAGGCCTCCATGATGGAAGATGTTGGAATGCAGGATGTCCATTTCAACGAGGTGAGTGCTTGAGTATGCGTGGGCTGCCTAGTCCGGGATAGCTAAGAGCTGCTGCTTGCCTTGCCAGCCCATCAAACCAGGGCTTTTCTTCCTGAAGCTACTATCTACACACTTACATATTACTAAGATAAATCTCCAAATAAATTGTAGTTCAAGTGTGTTGGTCCGCATGGGAAAGTTAATGTATCTTTGTTAATATGTTTTACCTTGTCTTCTAGATGCTATAACTAAAACCAGAAACCAAACCTGTTGCTGTCAAGTAGATTCCGAGTCAGGACAACCCCGTGTATTAGAGTAGAATGGTGCTTCACAGGCTTTTCTTGGCTGTAATCTTTACAGAAGCAGACTGCTAAGCCTTTCTTCCGTGGCATCACTGAGTGGGTTTAAACTGCCAACCTTTGAATTAATATTGTTAGGTGCCATTGGGTTGTCTCCAACTCATAGCGACCCTACGCAGAGCAGAACGAAACACCACCCAGTCCTGCACCAGCTCCGTGATCCCTGTTATACTTGAGCCCATTGTCATAGCCACCATGTCAATCCATCTCATTGAGGGCCTTCCCCTCTTTCATTGACCCTCCACCTTACCAAGCATGACATCCTTCTTCAGGGAATGGTCCCTTATGATAACATAACCAAAGTAAGCGAGACCAAGTCTGGCCATTCTTGCCTCAAAGAAGCATTCTAGCTGCACTTCCTCCTGGACAGATCTATTAGTTCTTTTAGAAGTTCATTGTACTTTCAGCATTCTTCGCCAGCACCACAACTCAAAAGCATCAGTTCTTCTTCGGTCTTCCTTATTCATTGGCCAGCTCTCACTTGCATATGAGGCGATTGAAAATATGGCTTGTCTCAGGTGTACCTTAGTCCATAAGGAGACATCTTTGCTCCTCAGCACTTGAAAAGAGGTCCTTTGCAGCCGATTTGCCTTGTGTTATACATCATCTGATGTCCTGACTGCTGCTTCCATTGGTGTCGAGTGTAGAACCAAGCAATGTAAAGTCTTTGACAACTTCAATCTTTTTTCCATTTATCATGATGCCACTTATAGGTCCAGTTGTGAGGATTTTTGTTTTCTTTATATTGAGAGGTAATCCATACTGCAGACTATATTCTTCAATCATCATCTGTAAGTGCTTCAAGTCATCCTCACTTTCAGCAAACAAAGTTGTGTTCATCAGCGTATCGCAGGTTGTTAAATGATTCTTCCTCCAATCTTATTGCCATGTTATTCTTCATATAGTCCAGCTTCTTGGATTATTTGCTTAGCATATAGATTGAATAAATATGGTGAAAGGATACAACCCTGACACACTCCCTTCTTGATTTTAAACCATGCAGTGTCCCCTTGCTCTGTTTGAATGACAGCCTCCTGGTTT